TGAGTGAGTCTGTGAGTGAGTGAGTCTGTGAGTGAGTCTATGAGTGAGTGAGTCTGTGAGTGAGTCTGTGAGTGAGTCTGTGAGTGAATCTGTGAGTGAGTGAGTCTGTGAGTGAGTCTGTGAGTGAGTCTGAGTGAGTCTGTGAGTGAGTGAGTCTGTGGGTGAGTCTGTGAGTGAGTGAGTCTGTGAGTGAGTGAGTCTGTGAGTGAGTCTGTGAGTGAGTCTGTGAGTGAATCTGTGAGTGAGTGAGTCTGTGGGTGAGTCTGTGAGTGAGTGAGTCTGTGAGTGAGTCTGTGAGTGAGTCTGTGGGTGAGTCTGTGAGTGAGTCTGTGAGTGAATCTGTGAGTGAGTGAGTCTGTGAGTGAGTGAGTCTGTGAGAGAGTGAGTCTGTCAGTGAGTGAGTCTGTGAGCGAGTCTGTGAGTGAGTCTGTGAGTGAGTGAGTCTGTGAGTGAGTGAGTCTGTGAGTGAGTCTGTGAGTGAGTCTGAGTGAGTGAGTCTGTGAGTCTGTGAGTGAGTGAGTCTGTGAGTGAGTGAGTCTGTGAGTGAGTGAGTCTGTGTGAGTGAGTCTGTGAGTGAGTGAGTCTGTGTGAGTGAGTCTGTGAGTGAGTGACTCTGTGTGTGAGTGAGTTTGTGAGTGAGTGAGTGAGTCTGTGAGTGAGTGAGTCTGTGAGTGAGTCTATGAGTGAGTGAGTCTGAGTGAGTCTGTGAGTGAGTGAGTCTGTGAGTGAGTCTGTGAGTGAGTCTGTGACTGAGTGAGTCTGTGAGTGAGTCTGTGAGTGAGTCTGTGAGTGAATCTGTGAGTGAGTGAGTCTGTGAGTGAGTCTGTGAGTGAGTCTGAGTGAGTCTGTGAGTGAGTGAGTCTGTGGGTGAGTCTGTGAGTGAGTGAGTCTGTGAGTGAGTGAGTCTGTGAGTGAGTCTGTGAGTGAGTCTGTGAGTGAATCTGTGAGTGAGTGAGTCTGTGGGTGAGTCTGTGAGTGAGTGAGTCTGTGAGTGAATCTGTGAGTGAGTCTGTGGGTGAGTCTGTGAGTGAGTCTGTGAGTGAATCTGTGAGTGAGTGAGTGAGTCTGTGAGTGAGTGAGTCTGTGAGTGAGTCTGTGAGTGAGTGAGTCTGAGTGAGTCTGTGAGTGAGTGAGTCTGTGAGTGAGTCTGTGAGTGAGTCTGTGAGTGAGTCTGTGACTGAGTGAGTCTGTGAGTGAATCTGTGAGTGAGTCTGTGAGTGAGTCTGTGACTGAGTGAGTCTGTGAGTGAATCTGTGAGTGAGTCTGTGGGTGAGTCTGTGAGTGAGTCTGTGAGTGAGTCTGTGAGTGAGTCTGTGAGTGAGTGAGTCTGTGAGTGAGTCTGTGAGTGAGTCTGTGACTGAGTGAGTCTGTGAGTGAGTCTGTGAGTGAGTCTGTGACTGAGTGAGTCTGTGAGTGAGTCTGTGACTGAGTGAGTCTGTGAGTGAGTCTGTGAGTGAATCTGTGAGTGAGTGACTCTGAGTGAGTGAGTGAGTCTGTGAGTGAGTCTGTGAGTGAGTCTGTGAGTGAGTGAGTCTGTGAGTGAGTCTGTGAGTGAGTCTGTGAGTGAGTTTGTGAGTGAGTCTGTGACTGAGTGAGTCTGTGAGTGAGTCTGTGAGTGAGTCTGTGAGTGAGTGAGTCTGTGACTGAGTGAGTCTGTGAGTGAGTCTGTGAGTGAGTCTGTGAGTGAATCTGTGAGTGAGTGAATCTGTGAGTGAGTCTGTGAGTGAGTCTGTGAGTGAGTCTGTGACTGAGTGAGTCTGTGGGTGAATGAGTCTGTGAGTGAGTCTGTGAGTGAGTCTGTGACTGAGTGAGTCTGTGGGTGAATGAGTCTGTGAGTGAGTGAGTGAGTCTGTGACTGAGTGAGTCTGTGAGTGAATCTGTGAGTGAGTGAGTCTGTGAGTGAGTCTGTGAGTGAGTCTGTGAGTGAGTCTGTGAGTGAGTGTGTCTGTGAGTGAGTCTGTGAGTGAGTCTGTGAGTGAATCTGTGAGTGAGTGTGTGAGTGAGTGTGTCTGTGAGTGAATCTGTGAGTGAGTCTGTGAGTGAGTCTGTGAGTGAGTCTGTGAGTGAGTCTGTGAGTGAGTGTGTGAGTGAGTGTGTCTGTGGGTGAGTGAGTCTGTGAGTGAGTCTGTGAGTGAGTGAGTGAGTCTGTGACTGAGTGAGTCTGTGAGTGAATCTGTGAGTGAGTGAGTCTGTGAGTGAGTCTGTGAGTGAGTCTGTGAGTGAATCTGTGAGTGAGTGAGTCTGTGAGTGAGTCTGTGAGTGAGTCTGTGACTGAGTGAGTCTGTGAGTGAATCTGTGAGTGAGTCTGTGAGTGAGTGAGTCTGTGGGTGAGTCTGTGAGTGAGTCTGTGAGTGAGTCTGTGAGTGAATCTGTGAGTGAGTGAGTCTGTGAGTGAGTGACTCTGTGAGTGAGTGAGTGAGTGAGTCTGTGAGTGAATCTGTGAGTGAGTGAGTCTGTGAGTGAGTCTGTGGGTGAGTCTGTGAGTGAGTCTGTGAGTGAGTGAGTCTGTGAGTGAGTGACTCTGTGAGTGAGTCTGTGAGTGAGTCTGTGACTGAGTGAGTCTGTGAGTGAATCTGTGAGTGAGTGAGTCTGTGAGTGAGTCTGTGAGTGAGTGAGTCTGTGAGTGAATCTGTGAGTGAGTCTGTGACTGAGTGAGTCTGTGAGTGAGTCTGTGAGTGAGTCTGTGAGTGAGTCTGTGAGTGAGTGTGTGAGTGAGTGAGTCTGTGGGTGAGTCTGTGAGTGAGTCTGTGAGTGAGTCTGTGAGTGAGTCTGTGAGTGAGTGAGTCTGTGAGTGAGTCTGTGAGTGAGTGAGTCTGTGAGTGAGTCTGTGAGTGAATCTGTGAGTGAGTCTGTGAGTGACTGAGTGAGTCTGTGAGTGAGTCTGTGAGTGAGTCTGTGACTGAGTGAGTCTGTGAGTGAGTCTGTGAGTGAGTGTGTCTAAGTAACTAGCACTGTGAGTCACGCTGCTGCTGCTGATAATGATCACCAGGGGAGTCATTTAAATGCTGTCCAGCATCAGCACTCAACATCAAAGACGGCGCGGAGAGAGGGAGGAGAGAGTCTGTGTGTGTGTGACTGAGTGTGTGTGTCTCTGTGTGTGTATCTGTGTGTGTGTGACTGAGTGTGTGTGTCTCTGTGTGTGTATCTGTGTGTGTGTGACTGAGTGTGTGTGTCTCTGTGTGTATCTGTGTGTGTGTGTGTATCTGTGTCTGTGTGTGTGTGACTGAGTGTGTGTGTCTCTGTGTGTATCTGTGTGTGTATCTGTGTCTGTGTGTGTGTGACTGAGTGTGTGTGTCTCTGTGTGTATCTGTGTGTGTGTGTATCTGTGTGTGTGTGTGACTGAGTGTGTGTGTCTCTGTGTGTGTCTCTGTGTGTATCTGTGTGTGTGTATATCTGTGTGTGTGTGTCTCTGTGCATGCGTCTCTGTGTCTGTGTGTGTGTCTCTGTGTGTGTATCTGTGTGTGTCTCTGTGTGTGTGTGTCTCTGTGTGTGTGTGTCTGTGTGTGTGTGTCTCTGTGTGTGTGTGTGTCTCTGCGTGTGTATCTGTGTGTGGGGAGCGGTAGTGTAGCGGTTAGCGCGCTGCGCTATGAACCTGGCGACCCGGGTTCGATTCCCGCTCACGGCCAACACCAGTGACGATTATCTGAACCGGTCCCGGGCCTCCCCTAGGTCGACTCAGCCTCAAATGAGTACCTGGTGCGGTGTATAAATATCGCCACTAGGGAGACAAAGGCGGTCGGGCGTGGTGCTGGCCACCCATCCCCTCGTGTACCGTTCCGGCCTTCATAGGTGCTTGCTAACAGCACTTGCCCCTACAGTCTATTAAGGCTATACGGGGGATATTTGTCTTTGTCTCTGTGTATGTGTGACTGTGTGTGTGTCTCTGTATGTGTGTGTATGTCTCTGTATGTATGTGTGTGTCTCTGTGTGTGTGTCTGTGTGTGTGTGTGTCTCTGTTCGGCCGGATCGAGGGGGCTAAACGGGCGCGGCACGGGCTAGAGAAGAGATGGAGTGATGTGGTACAGGAGGACGTGGAGCTGAGTGAACTTGCCGATGACCGGTACCAGCGGTGTCAAGATCGGCCTCTGTGGAGGAGGCTCGTGAAGGATGCTACTGGGCAGTTGGAGGCAGTCGCCCTCCAACAACAACGGAGGGCGGAGGAGCGACGCTCACAACAACGAGCGGAGCGCCGGATGGCTAAAGCACAGCAGGTTGGCACAGTAGGGGGCACAGGTGGTGCATCAGCCAGTCATCTCAGTCATCTCAGTCAGTCGACCCGTGGCACCTGCTGGGTCTGCCCCGTGACCTCCTGCCAGCGGGCGTTCGACACTTCACGTGGCCTCAAGGTGCAAATGGCCTGGCACAAGCGTCGTGGTGACGTCACCGCCACTTAGTGGCGTGTGTGCGTGTGTGTGTGTGCGTACGTGTGTGCGTGTGTGTACGTGTGTGCGTGTGTGTCTACGTGTGTGTGTGTACGTGTGTGTGTCTACGTGTGTGTGTGTCTACGTGTGTGTGTACGTGTGTGTGTGTCTACGTGTGTGTGTATCTACGTGTGTGTGTGTCTACGTGTGTATGTACGTGTGTGTGTGTACGTGTGTGTATGTACGTGTGTGTGTGTACGTGCGTGCGTGATATCCTCACTTCTCGTAGAGCTTTTCAAATTCCTCTCCCCACGTGTCGTTCAGCCCCGGGCATTCGTGGGGGCACATCAGGGACCAGTCCTGTACACAACAAACACAACAACAACACATCAACAAACACATCAACAAACACATCAACAAACACAACAACAAACACATCAACACAAAGGTGGAGGTGGTGATGGTGGAGAGCATGGGGGTGTGGTGTGAGTAGGTGGTGGTGGTGGTAGTGGTGTTGGTGGTGTGAGTAGGTGTTGGTGGTGGTAGTGGTGTTGGTAGCGATGGTGGTGTGAGTGGGTGGTGGTGGTAGTGGTGGTAGGGGCGGTGGTGGTGGTGGTGGTAGCAGAAGGTGCTCGCTAACAGCACTTGCCCCTACAGTCTGTTAAGGCTATATGGGGGATCTTTTTTTTGGTGGTGTGTGTAGGGGTGGTGGTAGTGGTAGGGGTGGTGGTAGTGGTGGGGGTGGTGGTAGTGGTGGTAGTGGTGTGAGTGGGTGGTGGTGGTGTGAGTGGTGGTAGTGGTGGTGGTAGTGGTGGTGGTAGTGGTGGTAGTGGTGGTAGTGGTGGTAGTGGTGGTAGTGGTGGTGTGAGTGGTGGTAGTGGTGGTGGTGGTAGTGGTGGTAGTGGTAGTGGTGGTAGTGGTGGTGGTAGTGGTGGTGGTGTGAGTAGGTGGTGGTAGTGGTGGTGGTGGTAGTGGTGGTGGTGTGAGTGGTGGTGGTGGTAGTGGTGGTGGTGTGAGTGGTGGTGGTGGTGGTAGTGGTGGTGGTAGTAGTGGTGGTAGTGGTGGTGGTAGTGGTGGTGTGAGTGGTGGTAGTGGTGGTGGTGGTAGTGGTGGTAGTGGTGGTAGTGGTGGTAGTGGTGGTAGTGGTGGTAGCGATGGTGGTGGTGGTAGCATGGTGGTGGTGGTAGCGATGGTGGTGGTGGTGGTAGTGGTGGTAGTGGTGGTGTGAGTGGTGGTAGTGGTGGTGGTCACCTCGTTGCTCTCCACCCTCCTCATGAAGAGGTCGGGCACCCAGAGAGCGTAGAAGAGGTCTCGAGCCCTCTGCTCCTCCTTGCCGGTGTTCTTCTTGAGGTCCAGGAAGTCAAAAATGTCCATGTGCCAAGGCTCCAAGTAGATGGCAAATGCCCCGGGGCGCTGGGGGGGGGGGAACGAGGGGGGGGGGGGGGGGGAACGAGGGGGGGGGGGGGGGGGGGGAACGAGGGGGGGGGGGGCGAGAGGGGGGGGGGGGCGAGAGGGGGGGGGGGGCGAGAGGGGGGGGGGGGGCGAGAGGGGGGGGGGGGCGAGAGGGGGGGGGGGCGAGAGGGGGGGGGGGGGGGCGAGAGGGGGGGGGGGGGCGAGAGGGGGGGGGGGGGGGGGGGGGGGGGGGGGGGAGGGGGGGGGGGGGGGGGGGGGGGGGGGGGGGGGGGGGGGGGGGGGGGGGGGGGGGGGGGGGGGCACGAGGGGGGGGGGCACGAGGGGGGGGGGGCACGAGGGGGGGGCACGAGGGGGGGGGGCACGAGGGGGGGGGGGCACGAGGGGGGGGGGGGGCACGGGGGGGGGGCACGGGGGGGGCACGAGGGGGGGGGGCACGGGGGGGGGCGAGGGGGGGGGCGAGGGGGGGTGGGACAAGAGAGTTTTTGCAGCTTTGTCAAATCCCATCCTGTCGACATCTTTCTCGGCCCCTCTCACCCCACCCACCCCCCCACCTCACCCCACCTCACACCCCCCCACTCACCCCCCCCCTCACCCACCTCACCCCCCCCCTCACCCACCCTCACCCCCCCCCTCACACCCCCCACTCACCCACCCCACCCCCCCCACTCACCCACCCCCCCACTCACCCACCCCCCCCCCCTCACCCACCCCCCCCCCACTCACCCACCCCCCCACCCACCCACCCCCCACTCACCCACCCCCCCCACTCACCCACCCCCCCCCTCACACCCCCCACTCACCCACCCCTCACTCACCCACCTCACCCCCCCCCCTCACACCCCCCACTCACCCACCCACCCCCCCACTCACCCACCCCCCCCCCACTCACCCACCCCCCCCACTCACCCACCCCCCCCACTCACCCACCCCCCCCCTCACACCCCCCACTCACCCACCTCACCCCCCCCCCTCACACCCCCCACTCACCCACCCACCCCCCACTCACCCACCTCACCCCCCCCCCTCACACCCCCCACTCACCCACCCACCCCCCACCCACCCACCCCCCACTCACCCACCCCCCCACTCACCCACCCCCCCCACTCACCCACCCCCCCCACTCACCCACCCCCCCCCTCACACCCCCCACCCACCCACCCCCCACTCACCCACCCCCCCACTCACCCACCCCCCCCACTCACCCACCCCCCCCACTCACCCACCCCCCCCCTCACACCCCCCACTCACCCACCCCCCCACTCACCCACCCCCCCACTCACCCACCCCCCACTCACCCACCCCCCCCACTCACCCACCCCCCCCACTCACCCACCCCCCCCCTCACACCCCCCACTCACCCACCCCCCCACTCACCCACCCCCCCACTCACACCCCCCACTCACCCACCTCACCCCCCCCCTCACACCCCCCACTCACCCACCCACCCCCCACTCACCCACCTCGCCCCCCCACTCACCCCTCACCCACCCCCCACTCACTCACTCCCACTCACCCACCCCCCACTCACCCACCTCACACCCCCCACTCACCTCACCCCCCCCCCTCACCCTCCTCACCCCCCCACTCACCCCCCCTCACCCCCCCCCTCACCTCACCCCCCCCTCCCCCCCCCAGCCCCCACCTTGTTGCCGCCCTGGTCGACGTATCGTGCCGTGTTGTTGTAGACGCGCAGCATGGGCAGCAGTCCGTTGGAGTTGCCGTTCGTCTGTGGGGGGGGGGGGGGGGGGTGAGGGGGGTGAGGGGGGGTGAGGGGGGGTGAGGGGGGGTGAGGGGGGGTGAGGGGGGTGAGGGGGGGTGAGGGGGGGTGAGTGAGGATGAATCAGTGTGAGTGAGTGGGCGAGTGAGCGGATGAGTGGGTGAGTGAGTGTGAGCGAGTGGGAATCGGTGTGAGTGTGTGTGGGTGGGTGAGTGGGTGAGTGGGTGAGTGTGTGGGTGGGTGCGTGAGTGGGTGAGTGGGTGAGTGTGTGGGTGAGTGTGTGGGTGAGTGGGTGAGTGGATGGGTGAGTGAGTGGGTGAGTGTGTGGGTGAGTGTGCAGGTGAGTGAGCGGGTGAGTGGGTGAGTGTGTGGGTGAGTGTGTGGGTGAGTGAGTGGGTGAGTGTGTGGGTGAGTGTGTGGGTGAGTGTGTGGGTGAGTGAGTGGGTGAGTGAGTGTGTGAGCGAGTGTGAATCGGTTTGTGTGTGTGTGTGGGTGAGTGAGTGGGTGAGTGGGTGAGTATATGGGTGAGTGTGTGGGTGAGTGTATGGGTGAGTGGGTGAGTGTGTGGGTGAGTGTGCAGGTGAGTGAGTGGGTGAGTGTGTGGGTGAGTGTGTGGGTGAGTGAGTAGGTGAGTGAGTGGGTGGCAGAGTGGGTGAGTGGGTGAATGAGTAGGTGGGTGAGTGGGTGAGTGAGTCGGTGTGAGTGAGTGGGTGAGTGTGCTTATGACCGGCTCCAGTTTAACAGCAGAGGTCTCACTCCAAATCAGTCGAGCGGCAATATCTTTTCATCGGTTGCGTAACGCTGTGTGGAAGCTACCTGGTCTGTCGCTCCGTACTAAGCTTCAGGTCTTCTCGGCCACGGTCATTCCCTCCCTTCTCTACGCTTGCGAAACGTGGACCCCCCCTAATGGAACATCTTCACCGGTTAGAAACATTTAGGCTGGCCTGCCTACGATCCACCCTGGGTTTAACCAGGCTGGATTGTGTGAGGGGCTCAAAAATCCTTGAAAGACCTGGGCAAGGTCCCATCGGTGAGCTCCTCCGGCAGGCAAGGCTGCGATGGCTGGGTCATGTAGCCCGCATGCCCAGCCACCGCATGCCGAAACAGCTTTTGTTCGGCCGGATTGAGGGGGCTAAGCGGGCGCGGCACGGGCTAGAGAAGAGATGGAGTGATGTGGTACAGGGGGACGTGGAGCTGAGTGGACCTTGCCGATGACTGGTACCAGCGGTGTCAAGATCGGCCTCTGTGGAGGAGGCTCGTGAAGGATGCTACTGGGCAGTTGGAGGCAGTCGCCCTCCAACAACAACGGAGGGCGGAGGAGCGACGCTCACAACAACGAGCGGAGAGCCCAGGTTGGCTAAAGCACAGCAGGTTGGAACTTGAATTTGGAGCTTTCGTGACTGCGGGAATGATTCTTTGTTGCTTTTTTTCGGTCAAGTCACGTAGAAATAAGAAATAATAATTAAACAAAAATTTTTTTACATAACAGCGTACGACGTTTCGATGGCAACACAAGCAATCATCATCAGGTACAGAAGAGCTAAATTTACGAGAGAGGGCAGACACACAACCGCAGACATATATATACAGACACAGATACGACAGGGGATACGCAGAGAGAGAGATGGACGGAGGGGAGCACGCTAAACCAAATAAGGTTTAGCAAAAATTTGGAAACCATATGATGACACCCAGACGGCCGGTCAAAACACAATGAACGCATGGGTCAGGCCGATTAACGCTATTTCAAAGATCGCTAAATTGCAAGTCAAGTGTGAAACTTAAATACACAGGCGGCATGCGCATACGTAGACATCCAAAAGCAGAAAGAGTTAGCACAGAGACACATGGAGAGAGGCAGGCACACAGTAATCTCTGTTTTTTTTTTGGTTATTTCGGTAAAGTCGCCACCACGTAGAATGAGAATAAAATAATGAATTGATGAAATAAAATTAACACGATGAAATTCCCACGACGTTTCGGCCACAACACAAGCGGGCCTTCATCAGGTGAAGGGACGAGGACAGCGCTGGAGTGAATGTGTATGCTTTGACTTTAACATAGCCATTTCTGTGACCAGTCACAAGCTAATCACTCAGCTATTTCAATGCTAAATTCTCCTGTTTGATTTGTACTAGGTGCCTCTGTGGATGTGTAGGCTTTGACTTTACCATAGCCATTTCTGTGACCAGTCACAAGCTAATCACTCAGCCATTTCAATGCTAAATTCTATGCTAATTCCTTTGTCAAGGGGTGCCTCTGTGGATGTGTATGCTTTGACTTTAACATAGCCATTTCTGTGACCAGTCACAAGCTAATCACTCAGCTATTTCAATGCTAAATTCTCCTGTTTGATTTGTACTAGGTGCCTCTGTGGATGTGTAGGCTTTGACTTTAACACAGCCATTTCTGTGACCAGTCACAAGCTAATCACTCAGCCATTTCAATGCTAAATTCTATGCTAATTCCTTTGTCAAGGGGTGCCTCTGTGGATGTGTATGCTTTGACTTTAACATAGCCATTTCTGTGACCAGTCACAAGCTAATCACTCAGCTATTTCAATGCTAAATTCTATGCTAATTCATTTGTCAAGGGGTGCCTCTGTGGATGTGTATGCTTTGACTTTAACATAGCCATTTCTGTGACCAGTCACAAGCTAATCACTCAGCTATTTCAATGCTAAATTCTCCTGTTTGATTTGTACTAGGTGCCTCTGTGGATGTGTAGGCTTTGACTTTACCATAGCCATTTCTGTGACCAGTCACAAGCTAATCACTCAGCCATTTCAATGCTAAATTCTATGCTAATTCCTTTGTCAAGGGGTGCCTCTGTGGATGTGTATGCTTTGACTTTAACATAGCCATTTCTGTGACCAGTCACAAGCTAATCACTCAGCTATTTCAATGCTAAATTCTATGCTAATTCCTTTGTCAAGGGGTGCCTCTGCAGATGTGTATGCTTTGACTTTAACATAGCCATTTCTGTGACCAGTCACAAGCTAATCACTCAGCTATTTCAATGCTAAATTCTATGCTAATTCCTTTGTCAAGGGGTGCCTCTGCGGATGTGTATGCTTTGACTTTAACATAGCCATTTCTGTGACCAGTCACAAGCTAATCACTCAGCTATTTCAATGCTAAATTCTATGCTAATTCCTTTGTCAAGGGGTGCCTCCGTGGATGTGTATGCTTTGACTTTAACATAGCCATTTCTGTGACCAGTCACAAGCTAATCACTCAGCTATTTCAATGCTAAATTCTATGCTAATTCCTTTGTCAAGGGGTGCCTCTGCAGATGTGTATGCTTTGACTTTAACATAGCCATTTCTGTGACCAGTCACAAGCTAATCACTCAGCTATTTCAATGCTAAATTCTATGCTAATTCCTTTGTCAAGGGGTGCCTCTGCGGATGTGTATGCTTTGACTTTAACACAGCCATTTCTGTGACCAGTCACAAGCTAATCACTCAGCTATTTCAATGCTAAATTCTATGCTAATTCCTTTGTCAAGGGGTGCCTCTGTGGATGTGTATGCTTTGACTTTAACATAGCCATTTGTGTGACCAGTCACAAGCTAATCACTCAGCTATTTCAATGCTAAATTCTCCTGTTTGATTTGTACTAGGTGCCTCTGTGGATGTGTAGGCTTTGACTTTAACACAGCCATTTCTGTGACCAGTCACAAGCTAATCACTCAGCTATTTCAATGCTAAATTCTATGCTAATTCCTTTGTCAAGGGGTGCCTCTGCGGATGTGTATGCTTTGACTTTAACACAGCCATTTCTGTGACCAGTCACAAGCTAATCAATCAGCTATTTCAATGCTAAATTCTATGCTAATTCCTTTGTCAAGGGGTGCCTCTGCGGATGTGTATGCTTTGACTTTAACATAGCCATTTCTGTGACCAGTCACAAGCTAATCACTCAGCTATTTCAATGCTAAATTCTATGCTAATTCCTTTGTCAAGGGGTGCCTCTGTGGATGTGTATGCTTTGACTTTAACATAGCCATTTCTGTGACCAGTCACAAGCTAATCACTCAGCTATTTCAATGCTAAATTCTCCTGTTTGATTTGTACTAGGTGCCTCTGTGGATGTGTAGGCTTTGACTTTAACACAGCCATTTCTGTGACCAGTCACAAGCTAATCACTCAGCTATTTCAATGCTAAATTCTATGCTAATTCCTTTGTCAAGGGGTGCCTCTGCGGATGTGTATGCTTTGACTTTAACACAGCCATTTCTGTGACCAGTCACAAGCTAATCAATCAGCTATTTCAATGCTAAATTCTATGCTAATTCCTTTGTCAAGGGGTGCCTCTGTGGATGTGTATGCTTTGACTTTAACATAGCCATTTCTGTGACCAGTCACAAGCTAATCACTCAGTTATTTCAATGCTAAATTCTCCTGTTTGATTTGTACTAGGTGCCTCTGTGGATGTGTAGGCTTTGACTTTAACATAGCCATTTCTGTGACCAGTCACAAGCTAATCACTCAGCTATTTCAATGCTAAATTATATGCTAATTTCCTTTGTCAAGGCGCTCTGTTTCTTCTCACACAGCTTAAAGGTCGCGGCCTGAGCTTGGCTGTGTTCGCTCCAGCGCTGTCCTCCAGATAGTCTCCGTCCCCTTCACCTGATGAAGGCCGCTTGTGTTGTGGCCGAAACGTCGTGAGAATTTTTAATCGCGTTAATTTTATTTCATAAATTCATCATTTCATTCTCATTTCTACGTGGTGGTGGCGACTTTACCGAAAGAACCGAAGGAGATGAATTCCTCGCGGCCACGAAAGCTTCGAATCGAAAAGTAATCTCTGCGTCAAGGCTTTAAATGGACAGATGAAGGCGGGGCCGAGATGCAATGGGACACAAAATAAGCATGCCAATGGGACACAAATTAGCGTGGAGCATGAAAGCAAGGTGCGGCGCGGAGACTCTAACACCAAGGCACAGACACCACAGAGACACCACAGAGACACAAACTTAAGTCAAGCCACAAATGTAGACACACC